TAAGTTGTCTATCTCTGTATTAGGCATATAACACACACTTATTTTCCCCCCTTAATGCTTGAACCCAAAATTACAAAGCAACACACCTTTATAAATCTTTGTATCAAATGGCGTTATGATTTTCCACCTGAGTGCTAAGGCTTTCTTAGATATGTGCCATATCAAGCTAGTAAAACTTTTATTTCAAAATAATTTAGCTGCTAAAGTTGTGGATCAAAGCACCCTATCTTAAAGAATGGTATTAAAGCTAGTAGCATTTAACAGCTAAAAATCTAAAATGGACGAGTCCCAAAATGCTGTGGCTATCATTTAACATTGTAACATGAAAATCCAAGCATTTGCATTCATTGGTCAACACTGTCAGTAATAACTTCAGGCTCCAGTTATAAATTGTTAAGCAGCTCTAGAGATACAAAGTTACATGTTAGTGCAGTTGGGGGGGGGTTCTGCAACTGATTTTAGCTGTCACGTTGCTAAAAATGTGAAAAGAAAACTTTTGTTTTGGCGTGTGTATGATCTAACCAATGCATTTAACTTGCAACACAAGTATTTTCAGACACAAGTAGCTATTTATTTAGTACATTAAAATCCTACTTTTATTCTGTCACAGTACTAAAAATGACATATATGGCACCGACCAGGAATGCTTGTTTCATATGCCCTCAGGCCATATATGCCTAGGATCCAATGCTAGTATTGCTTAAACACTTATTCAAATACGTGTCCATATTTTTAAAAATTAAATCACTCTTTCAATAATGGCTTGGTAGAACAAAAACTAACAAAAACCCACACAGCTGCTTTTGTTTATAAACAAACTTAAAGAAATGATTGTGAAAGAACAGGAATCCCTCCCACTTGAGAATCCACAAAAGCAAATATCTCAAGGCAGTTAGCTATTCAAATGACTCCCAAATTTTCAGGAAGCGTCCTTTCTTTCAGTTCAGCCACTGATTCACCCAAAATCATTTCAAGTGGACAAGTAGGATTTACAAATATTCTGCAAAATTTGAGCAACTTTCTGAATTTCATATTGATGTCTAGACAAGCTATACATGTCTACCACATCTACCTGTCACCCATACCAGGGTTCACCTGAGGTCAGGCACAAATACACAGGGGGGAAATACTATTTAAGAAAAACTGCATTCTCAAGATCAGTTATGTCATAAATTTCTTGATTTTTCAGGTAACCATAGGTTACAAGAAGCTAATAATTTTTTAGCATAGATAAATCACCAAAGCAAACATGTGCTTTTATATAGTAACTACTGCAAATCAGAAGCACATTTACCTCACAATTATTCCATGTTTCTACTCCAATGGTAATGATAATCAAGCCACTTGCTCCACGGCTACATATAAAATATTCAGGGTCCAAGCTGCCCCCCAAGCACCGTGGGAGGGCCACCCTGCTGAAGCAAAAACACCTACACCAGTCCCCCCATATTCTGTTCAAGATTTCAGACCCACACTTCCCTAAGCTTCTCCATAGGTCCACCTACCTACACAGCCTGACACCTTGGTCCTATCCAACTATTGATTTTATAGACATCTCAAGAGTATAGGATTGGTCCTCAAGCTACAACCCTAAATGCACTTAGGAATAAGCTCAACTTCAGTCAGTTAAGTGGAACTTATCAGTAAACAATATTTTGGGCCACAGAGGACATTTACTTCATGCAGTTAGTTGTGTTTCAGCCGCATATTTTATTTTATTTTTAGTTCTGAGGAAAACACCCCAGGGCCCCGGGTTGTCTCCATACCCAAGTGGCAGACACCATGAAACCCAAGCTACATACTTGCCACCAGCCCCGTAACTTCAAGGTCAGTTATTCGGGAACTGCCGCCCAACCGCCTCCCCGAAACTTCCCTCCCTGAGTCCACCTATTGTGTCAAGATCCAGCCCACGCCAAGCGCTGCCAGCGGCTCCTAAGGAGTGGAGCGTCCCGTCAGGCGTCGCCTCCGCCTCACCTGCGCTGCCGATTTCCATTCATGGAGCTCGGCGCGGCCGCTCTCAGGCTACGGGTGCCGGTCCGGTTCCTGCCTGGTCCCCCACGTCGTTCGCCTGGCGCCGTCCCGGTCCGGCCGGGCCTGAGGAGACAGCAGCAGCAACAACGGCGGCGGCGGCGCCTCCTCTTCACACAGCGCAGCCACTCGAGTCTTTCAGGTTATTACTCTCCCTCCCCAGCCGCCCACGGGCGGTCAGTCAGTCAGTTAGTCTCGGGCTGAGGTGACGGGTGAAGAAGCGGAAGTTGCGTGGCCGCCCGCAGCCCCGGCTCGCTCCCTTCTCCACTGACTGACTAGCTGACTGAGAAACCCGACTTTCCACTCGGCACACACTGAGCCTCGCTCTGGAGGGACCAGTCCCCGGGTGCCCGCAGGCGCGCGCATGCGCCTCCCTCTCTACCGGAAACCGTCCCTCCTCCCTTTTTCGGCTCTGAGGCGAAGACTATCTCTGTAGTCTTTCTACGATGACTGACTCTGTAGCAGGAGGGGGGAGGGTGCCTGACTCACTCACTCACCGGCTCACGCGCATGCGTGCATTCTCCTCCACCACCTCTGGCCGCCGGAAGTTCTTTTCCTACTTCAGCCTCTCTCGCTCTACCTCAACCCCGCGCAAGTTCGCGCTTAGTCCCGCTCACGTTGTTGTTAAACAACTAAGATAAACGCAGCACGCATGCGTACGAGAGTTGCCGCTCTACTTCAAGGGCAGCCCTCGGCGAATGCAAATTTAGGAGGCGGAGCTAGGGCCGTGCGGAGGCGGGAACAAGCAAAAGGAAGGAGTGGTTATGGGGTTGGCCTTAAATGAACGAAAGGCCGCGGGTTCGAGTCTCGGCTTGTGTTATTTGAGGTAAGCGCGAGACTTGGAGGAGCCTTAAGTTCCGTGGCTGTTTAATATTTTTAATAGTTAGCAAACTAACACTCGGTTTGTTTAACTGCCTTAAAGTTTTAGACGGCTGCAAAAGGTGCATTTCCCCGCCCACCAGGCAACAATTTATATAGCTATAAATACAAAGTTAGTTTGATTTTAATAATGATAGAAGGATCTGGCAACTTCTGTTTCAGTGTATCTGAAGAAGTGTGCATGCACACGAAAGCTCATACCAAGAACTAACTTAGTTGGTCTTTAAGGTGCTACTGGAAGGAATTTTTTTTGTTTTAATAATGAAAATAGAGAATTACATGTAATGTAGTTTTAATCTAGTTTTAGCTTACTGATTTTATTTTATTTTACTTTTAATTGCTTGTTTTTAACCTTTATTTATTCTTTTTGTAAACTGTATTGAGTTTTCATAAAATTGTAGACTTGGAAGAGACCACTAGGGTCATCTAGTCCAGCCCCCCCTGCAATGCAGGATCTTTCGCCCAATGTGGGGCTTGAATCCACAACTCTGAATGCAACATTCCCATCCCAAACAGTAAAAAATGTATGGCTTTCACACTTACACAGTGTCTCTGCATGAAAATAACAAAACTATTTCTCTTGAGAGACACATACACAGTCTAACGCATAAAGAACAGGCAGCCTGGCTCAGTGTCCCTGTGTGTGTTTGTAAGATTGTAAGCTTCTGGGCAGGAACCATTTTGCTTTAAATCTTTGTACAGCACTTTATAAAATAGTAACTAATATAAGCAGTGTGTTGTAGTGCTTGGACCAACAGGCTATGAATTTTCAGTCCCACTAAGACACGAACTCTACAGACGCATAATTCTCCCCCAACCTGGCGCCCTCAGATATTTTGGACAAAGGCTGCTGTACAGGGAGAAGCGTTGTAGTCCATCCTCTAAACACAGTCCATTCAGGAGGGCCACCTGTTCAGGAGGGCTCATCATAGGGCCTACCCAGTGGCAGTGAAGGCAACAAAGGCAGCAGAGTTTGGTACCTCCATTGTATCCTCATTGTGCCATCTGGTAGAGCTTTTCCAAGTAGTGCAGTCTGGCCTGAAGCAGGTAGCGCACTGTGACTTGCTTGCAATAAGAATAAGAATAAATTTGCTTGCATCCACCAGGTTCTTGACTCCAGTTACAGCAGATTAATTTCAAGGGGTGTCCAGAGCACTGTCTAGTCCTGATATGTTGGGTGACTTTGTTAGTGCCATGGACTAGTTGGAAACAGAGGAGTGGTGGAAGGAACCAGAGCCCAGGGAGTAGTGATGAGTGGTCACAGGGACTGTGAAAAGGTGTCTGAAGAAACTTCAGCTGGCAGCCAGGTTGATCACAGGGGCAAGACAGTCTAGAGTGTATGACACTGATTCTAGTTTCTGGGCCCAATTTAAAGTGCTGGTTTTTTACCAATAAAGCAATCAACAGCTCAGAACCGCAATACCTCAAGGACCACTTCTCCCCATGTGAACTGGCCTGGACCCTGCAATCATCATCTGAGGCTCTTCTTTGTGTGCCTCCTCCATGAAAGGTTTGGAGGGTGGTGGCTCCCCATTTGTGGAATTCCCTCCCCAAGGAGGCTCGCCTGGCATCATTACATACTTAAGACCCCAGGTGAAAACGTTTTTCTGTAATAAGGCCTTTGGCTGGTTAACATTCTATCACCTTCTAAACGTGATGGGAGGACGTTACTGGTTTTTGTTTAATGTATATTGTGTTCTCCAATGTGCATTTTTCTGTTGTGAACCTCTCTGTGGTCTTTGCAAAAAGGGCAGTTTACAAATTTAATTAAATAATAATAATACAACATGACAGTGGGGCATTTATTACAAGCTGGGCATGTGGTTTACTGGTATCCAGAAGTGCATGACCATCTATGCACACCAAAGGCATCAAACCTTTTTCAAGAAATAAAATACCAGTCTTGCCAGAATATTGACATCCTAGTTAGTTTTTTCTTTAAAAAAAAAGCACAATTGTATTCTATGTGGATTTTTGTTTATACTTTAAGTGAAATGTCTGCCTCTCACAGAAGAAACTCATATCCAGGTGCTGAAACTCTCTTTATAAAATTTGAGTTCCAGTTTGCTCCTCTCAATAAGGACTGTACAGCAGTTGTTCAAATCTGTTTAATAAATGGACCATACAATGTTCAGTTTCAAATTAAAAAAACACAAACAACAAAACTCAACCAATAGCGTGTTTTGTGAACATTCTCTATTTACACTTCAACGCTTCCTTGTAACAGTTTTTCTTTAAAAAAAAAAATTGAACACAAACCAGAGTTGCCATCAGTTTAAAACTTTCACAATTTCTTGGAAGTGCAAAATTACATGTGCACACATGATACGGGTTTCACTTTTTTTATTGCTGTTCTGCCATGTTGCTCACATTTCTCTCCAGATAGGACCAACACAACAAGTTTGCACCTTGCTGCCAAATTGCTTTGAACATTATATTAAAAAGGGATTCTTCGTTGAATCCTTGCAATGCTGACGCTTTTAGGCTTTCCTACAATATCAGTTTTCTATAGACAGAAGCTGCTTTGTTGGTCCCAAAAGGATTATGATACAAAAACCAGGCACGGCAACTTTCCTTTTTTCAGACAAATGTTTGGTAGCCAGAGAATTTTTTTGTGTTTTACAGTTGTATAGAATTCTTCAGATGAGAACAGCTCATTTTCCAAACTAAAGAGAACCTCTGGTTCCACGTAAGGATTTACACTAGAGACAATATCTAGATGTCACTGCGTATTTACCCAGCTTTGCCCTCTGTACTGTGTATCCTCTGCCTGAAGAGTGGTGTGTAACTCAGAAAGTTTGCATCCACCAAATGAAAAGACTGTTACCATACCTCTATTTTACATCCTATCAATTTCATTTTGGTATGCCCTTACTTGTAGTTCAGCAATGTCTGGAGGGCTGCAAGTCCCATTGGCCATGCTGGCTGGGACTGATAGAAGCTGGAGTCCAGAGCCCCCTAGAGGGCCACAGAGGTTAGCCACACCAGCCATAGACATGGGTGGGCCAAAGTTCCCAAGAACTGTGGAGCTCGTTCCACAAGCCCAAGGGAGATTTAAGAATAATTTCTCCACAGGTAACAGCCCCTTTATGCTGTATAGCAAGTTGCTTTGGAAACCGAGAAGAATGTCAACAGTAGCTTTTGACATGACATTGGGGTCTGCAGTTTATAAAATTGGCCGGGGGGGGGGGGTTAAATATTCCACTGGGCTCATATAAGCCCCTTGGCACAAACCTAAGGGCCACCTTGAATCCCAGTCCAGTTTTTGTACTGCTCCTTGCAATCTTTCGTGGCACAGGTTCTTGCCTTCTTCATCATCCTCTTCCACCCAGTGTCTTTTGCTCAAATATAAGCATTAAATTGGAACTAGCAGCAGTGCAGGTAAAATAAAAAACAAGAGCCAACAACGGATAGCTACGTAATTATGCTGCCTCCCCAACCCTCACGCAAACAAGCGCACACACACACACACACACACACCGCACACACACCTGTGAGAATTTGGCAACATTTTCAGCTGCAGAAGGGCAACATAGCGACAAGAGACAGACTTAAGGTGCAAGGTTAAATGCTCCAAAATGCGTATTCAAATATCTTATTGGTAGCCTTGCAACGCCCCCAAAGTGGACAGTCTGTGGTACAAAAAAAAGAATGCCACCTCCTATGTGCTCTCGTGGACTATCAAGAGGACATAATATACAGCTTTGCCAAACCTAAGCAGGAATGGAACAGGGAGCCTCCAGTACACAGAACATGCAGGGAGATCTAACTCATTAAGCAGAACATCTAAAGGGGGGGGAATACCCCGAACCCAGAAACTTTGTTCCATAGAGGGTGCAGCAATGACATCATTTACGGCACTTAGTGAAAATTCCGCATGCACCAGGTGGGTGGAAGGGAGAAGTGAAGGATGGGCCAGAAGCGCTTGAAACGGTATGTTTCCTCTAGCTCAACCTTCAGCAACCTTGTGCCTTCCAGATGATTTGCACTATAACTCCCCAGGCATCTCAAAGCAGTGCAAAACAACTGGAGAGCACCAGGTTGGCAAAGCCTGCCCTAGCTGCCTGTCTCATTAGGTCATGCCAACACCAATTCATTCAAAGCAGCTACTTAACGGCGGAGTGCAAAAATCTGAAAAAGAGAATCCATTGACAACAATTCAAGTCCTGGAGGTTTGTGTTTGTTTTAAAGCAAATTTTTTTAAAACAAAGCTGAATATTTTTCAAATTCCCTCCATCTCCCCCACCCCACCCCCCAGTTCTGCAAATGCCCAAGTCACTTTTGCTCAAAACGTTTCTGAATCTTGGACCAAATATTTTAGTTGCAATGCTGGTGACTGAACCTACAAATCCCACTCCAAGCACAGAGACAGCGGCGCAGAGGACATGAAGGGGATGCAAAGAACTCAAAAAGCTGCTTCTAGAAATAAAAGCATTCTCACTCACAAGCCCAAGTAAGATGGGGGCCTCCCCAACATCTCTTTCTGAAAAACGCAGGGCTCATAATCTAGGTTCATGCTGGAAGATGATAATGTGTTTACCCATGCAGGCACTTGGTTAAGAAGATCAGCTTTTCCAGACTGATGCTTTTGCTGCCCAAAGCAAAGCAATTCCCAGCCTTGCGGGATACAAAGCAGCTGAGTGAGAGGGAAAAGGAAACCAGCGGGGAAAGAGAGAAGAGTCAAAGATCCAAAGAACTGCATAACTCACTGTGTGCAGCCAATAGTGCATTGGACTTGTGCTTCAAAAACCAGTAAGCAGGCACACACCTTCCCAAGTGAAGCAGGTGAACCATTCTGGAACCTGGGGAAGGGCTAAAAGCCAGTTGTGATATGAAGTGGAGATCTGATGCTCAAGGTCAGAAATCTCAGCAGCTGCACACAAGCAATGTTGGAGCATTCCTACAGCAGTTATTTGGGACCTGGCTAAAGAATATGAGCCATAATGCCCAAGTAATGTAAAACACAACAGTGCTCCATTCTGTGGCACAATTTTTTTTTTTTGCATAGCATTTTGATGGGTTAACATTCTGCCCCAAAAACAGCATTTGGAGAGAGAAGGGGGGATGGAGAAGTGAAAATAAAAAGGATGGGATACCTGACTTGACACTTGAAGCTTGAGTGGTAAAATCAGTATTGCCTCACAATCTGCAAAGCATATGCTTTAACAGGGTGTGCCTACAGTGGCATGGCTGCACAGGTTCAACCTTCCTTTTTTAAAAAAGGCTTGAGTATAGGTGACATTTCCTTCTCTCACCACATGCCTGCTTTTGTACTTAAATGGCAAGAATGTGTCTGTAACAGAATATGCCAGAGAACCTCCAGCCTTGAAAGCACAAGTAGCTTCTTGTAGTAAGTTTGAAATTCATCATCACGGCGGGACAGAATAGATTTGTCTTGTGAATACGAACTATGTCTACATAGATAGCAAAGTGCATGTTGTTGTTCTGATCAAAGGAAAAGCCAAGTGGGGTTTTGTTTATTTGCATGGGGATGGCAATAATTAAAGCAGCAGAAACCATCGGGGCAGTTTTGAGAACATGCTGGACCTAAAACTATTATAAAACTATAAAGGAAAAATAGAATGAAACTTTAGGAAAGAAAAATAAAGACTTTGTGGATTGCAGCTCGATTAATGGAAAAGCAGCCAGCCTCTCGCTAACCTCTATCGCTTGCATTTTAGTACACATGCTGCCAAAGCAAACAAAAATCTCATAACACAACCCACCACATAAGCTATAGGAAAACTCCAAAGTATGAGGGGGCTGCTGGGGGAATATTGTAAACTCTGAGAATATATAAGTGATTTGAGTAAGTTTTGGCAATAAGACTCGGCACCGTATAAAAATAACACTTGGTAATAAAAAATTTCATCGGCGTATAAAAAAAAGTCAGGACATCAATTGATAATGGAGTTTCTCGTTTGTGCTCATGGGGCAGGCAAAAACATTCTTCCTCTTGCAAAACCCCGTTTGTTAGAAATGTAGTTTTTAAATTAAAAATTAAAAAAAAAAAATCCACTCAAGAAATACATCAGGAACAATAAAATCAACATCAAATAAAAACAAAAGAACAAAAACATGTTTTATCAGCAGCTCTCCAAATTCATATGTCATGTTAAAAGTGCACAGAATTTTAACCCATCGTGAGGCTGTGAGGCTAACATGAAACTGAAAGCTTTGTGAACGTTAAAAAAAGAACTCCTAATACCTTTAAGATGGAGATTTTTTTGGACCACCACCGAGACAAGAGTATCCTTGGTTTGCTTTTCTTTTCCTTTGAAAGGTGAACGAACATCAACATTTTGCAGCATTGCAGTAAGGCACTCGCCCACAGTTGAGTATGTGACTGTTGCATTAAAAGGGCAGCAGCTATCCCACTTTTAAACAGGCGGAAGACAAGTTTCCTTTTCGGCATTGTGGTAAGTGCTGGGGGTGCCTTACGTTATTATTATTATTTATTATTATTATTATATATAAAGGGGAGAAAATTTCTTCATAGGGAAGGGTAAGAGTGTTAAAATTAATCTATAAACTACTGGCTTTTTTTTCTTCTTCACCAATTAAAGCATCTTGTATCCTAAAATATTAGTTTTTATAAATCTAGTCATCTGTTTTAAGGCTCTACAAATCCCATTTCCCCCACCCATCCCAAACAATAACAAACAAAAATCTTACCAGCGTTTGATTTGGCATTGGAGAACCAAAACAGTTATTTCACAGTCGAGAAAGTCTAATATTGCGTCCCGTCCCCCCCGCCCCGTCCCAATAATGAAAACCGTTTTGTTTTTTTCTTAACAGGAAGTCAGATCTCTTCCTTGGTTTAAATACTTAGTGTGTTTGGTCAGGTAACTAGAAAGCCTGAAAAACAAAGACTACAAAGGTGTGTTCATCCGGTTAAGTGGCTCTCCTGCATTCATTCCAGAGGATGCTGGTTTCCTGCCTCCAACGCCATCTGCGCCCTGCAGTGATTTCTCATTGGATGCCTGCAAGGTGCTCCCAATGCTTCCTCTTTTTAAATTATGGCTCCTACAAATCTGAAAGCTTTCTGGAGTGAGGTAAAAAAAGTTATACTTTCAAGCAAAGTACATGGTACGTAAAGTGTCCTGATGAACTTGTACGGCCTTGGCGAGGGCCTGAGGGTCTCGACCATTACTCTGGCCAGATATGTGACTGCCTTCTCCGCTGAAAGTGGAAGAAACAGGGTGCGGGGGGGAAAGAGAACAAAGCATTAGTTGTCCACATATAAAACCACTACTTATGAATTGCTTCCATTCCAGGTAAGAAGCCTGCAAGCAGATCAGTATTGCCCTAGCAGAAAACTGTCTTAGGTAAAGGTAAAGGTACCCCTGACCGTTAGGTCCAGTTGCAGACGACTCTGGGGTTGCGGCGCTCATCTCGCTTTACTGGCTGAGGGATCCAGTGTTTGTCCGCAAGCAGTTCCGGGCCAGCATGACTAAGCCGCTTCTAGTGAACCAGAGCAGCACATGGAAATGCCGTTTACCTTCCCGCCGGAGCAGTACCTATTTATCTACTTGCACTATGATGTGCTTTCAAACTGCTAGGTGGGCAGGAGCTGGGACCGAACAACAGGAGCTCACCCCGTCGCAGGGATTCAAACCGCCAACCTTCTGATCAGCAAGCCCTAGACTCTGTAGTTTAGACCATGGTGCCACTCGCGTTACAGTATCACAAATATCCAGACATAGCCAAAAATAAGTATAAAGTATGGCTGCACAGAAAGGACTTGCCAGGTGTGCTATAACCCTTCTCTGGGGCAAATAAATTATTTGCACCTAGAAAACTAAAGACCAAACTCTGACCTCCGGTCAGCTCAGTCTGATCTGCAGAATCTTCTCTAGTGGTCATCACTGATCATTGGTGCTGCTGCCGGACAAGGAAGAACCTTCAAGGTTCTCAACAGTGAACATCTGTGGGACTGAGCTCTCTCGAGTCCACCCCATTCTGCACCACCTCTTTAACAATTAAGCTTCCAGCATCTGGCTGACTGCAAAGCCTTTGAGTGCCTTTTTTGACAAGTTAAGTTACGATGCAGTAGATTTATTTTCCAATAATATTATGTTTTGAGACAGAAGTAGGGAACCACAGGACAGGTAGCCAAATGCGGCCTTCCAGGTCTCTTGACTGGTCCTCAATTCTCTCAGGCCGTACGCCTCACTGGTTCACACAGTAAAAACAGGGGGTGTATAATGCCATTTCTGTTATCTTGGGTTGGCTAATCAGTAGCCCTCCAAATTCTCTGCAGTACGAAGCCCACCATCCCTGATCATTGGCCAGGCTGGCTACCAACACACCGTGGCACAGACTCAGCTTGGGGGAGAGGGGGGAAACCATGCTGCCCACCACCTGCACCCAATAATGACGGCCACTCTAGCAGGCCCACAAATTCATCAACCCTGCCCTTTTCTCAACAAAGCCTTAGAACTATCCAGTGCTAGTTCTACTCAAGAGTGGATCCATGAAATTAATACACAGGACTAGCTCAGGCCCATTAATTTCTATGGATCTACTCTGCGAAGAACTAGCAATGCATATAACCCTAGGTATGTGTAACTGAAACAATCATATACCCTTCCCTTGTTTCCCACTTCTGCCTCCCACTTCCCCTCCCCTCCTTCAGTTGTTTTTCAGATGGCAACCCCTTCGAGCAGCGACCTGCCCTCTTGTGCTCCGTAAAGCACCATGCCTATTGGTGGTATAATGCAACAATCAACCCATCAGGGACTCTACAAATGGGATGTACGTGACATACAAATATGTTCCTTCAGAACTGAAGGCACACATTCAAACCCAGGTGTGACTGGGCTTCCACCACACAGTGATGATGGTGAAGGAAAACAAGTTACCGTGGAGCCCCGTAACTGCCCTAGTCTATCCTGCTCCACGGATGGAAACAAACAAGTAGAAGTACTACATGTACAGACACCCAGCTGCTCACCTGTCATGCTCTTTGTCCACAAGGTGATATCGCGCCCGAAATGCCACCAAGCGGGCATAGTATGCTGGTGCTGGGATAGAGACTGAGCGAGTGCAGCGTACGTAAGTGTGGCAAAGCTGGTAGGTGAGAATCTGAAGCTCATCCGCTGTAAACCGGTTGTCATCCCAAAGAACGTAATAATGGGAAGGTCTGCTTGTACCCTGGATGGGAAGAAGAACTGGACTCAGTAGGGTACACAGGGAGGAATGATGATAACTTCCTAAGTGCAGTGGAAAGATGGTCCATCTACAGGGGCAGTGGCTAACCTTTTCAGTCCAAAGGCTGCATGCAAAATCAGCCAATGTGCACGCAATCTGGTCCATGGGTTTGCCACCCCTGTGCTAGGTGGCCTTAGACAAGACCTCCCCCAGCTTCCAATCCCCATTGGCATTATGGATATAGTAATATCAACATCTTACCAGGCTGACGTATGGATTACTGAGCTAGTATGAAGTGCTTTGTGCATTCAAGCACCTCTAGGTAAATTCCAACCACCACTATGGTGACCCACAAAACCCAGAGGCCACCGTCTCAACTTGGCCCCTTTGTTTTATCTTCCCTCGTGCTCAACTCCATGTAACAGAGCCAACTGCTGCTCCTTCTCCAGATCTACAGCCCCTATAGAACCTCTACTTCAGGAAGCCACAATAAGCTGGTTCCCCTTCACCAGGTCCTTCCTTCTTATTGCCTCCCTCCGCAAAAAGAGAACAGGGATTATAGGGGTAGGAAAACTGAAATATACTTTGGGATTCCGGCTATTATCTAAATCACCTCCTCTCCTTAAATAAAAAAGGTCATTAATACACAGTACCTGAATGCCAGCGTGACTACACAGGTAGAAGTCAAACTCAAACGGATGAGTAATGTTTGTATCCACCGTTGTTCCTGCTGGAATGTTCCCACTTTTACCGATCTGCAGAGTTTATTACAAAGGAAACAAAAGCATAAATGCTGTTAGCAAGAGAAATTGTCTGGGATGTTTAAGCAAGATGCTAAGAAAGACGGATGTTAAGCAATGCTAAAAAAAAGCAATTGCCTGGGATGCCTCCACTATCCTTTAGGGATCTCAAGCAAGTTAGTTAGGGAACTGCTGTGCCAAACAAAATAAAAGAGAAAAATTAAATTAGCTTTGTATCTTAAACCTCTCAGGTTTTATTAATGCTATCAGCAATCCCACAATTGCCACTTGTTAGCCTCACTGATCTGTGTTTACACAACCAAAAGACCTAATTTGAAGCATGCCCCATCACTGATCCTCACCCTCTCATTCTTATCTGCACAGAAGAGGCGAGTGTGGTGTCGTTTCTGCACAACAATGTAAGTAATGCCTGGTTGGTAGTCCTTCTCCAATTTGATGCAGGCGTCACGGATGGCCAGGAGCTCATAATGAAGGATCTAAGAGAAAAGCAGCCATAATGTTTTAAAAGGTAGAAGGAAAAAGAAAACACCATACTGCCCCCCCTTCTGTTTCTAGAAAGATCATCTATTCATTGAGCCATTTATTTTATTATTATTTTTTGCTTGATCATATGAAGAGTATTTTTTTAATTAAAAAAAGATTGAAGCCACCTTACTCTAAGGCACAATTACAGCTAATTGAAAACTTTTTCACCCAGTAAAATGGACTGGAAATAAATTTAGCACAACTCAACAAAAGATAAAGCACTTTGTAGGACAAATGTATGGTTAATTTACTGAACTGGCTGCCCCAAGTTGTAGGCACTTCTACAGGCTTAAGGTGGCCTTAAAAGGGGAGGAGGCAAAAATCACAAAGAGAGAGGCCTATCAATAACTAAATACAGCTTCCTGAAATGTTTACTCTTGAAAATCAGTAGCTGTTGCCCTTGTGCCCTGCCTCTGGGTCTCCCATAAGCCAGGGCTGGGAAATTTGGGGCCCTTTAGATGTCATTGGGCTCCAGTTTCCATCAACTCCAGCCACCAAGACCATTGGGATGGTGGAAGTTATGGCTGTCAACAAAATCATAATCACCATCATCTTCAGGGCCACAGTTCCCCCAGACCTAGACTAAATGGGCCTTTATTTATTTCATAAAATTTATACACCACTTGATTGTAAAAAATCTTAAAGCGGTTTACAAAAATCCAGTTAGTCAAATTCAACAGAACTTATCTACTACTGAAGCCCACCTTAAACTGGGCAATTCCTAACCTGTACCTACTGCAAACCTCTGTCCTTTCTGCCTAATGTGAACCGAAGCTTCCTGTGCAGGATCCATTCCTGCTGGTACTACTGAGGAAAAGAGTAATGCCTCACCTGTGGGAGCTGTCCCTCCGGCACTCCGTCACGGTAGAAGATTATGCGGGTGGGTTTGAAGCGAGTGGACTTGTAAAACTGGATGAGGAGCTCTCTCACCATGTACGACAGGTCCTCTATGATCTCCTGCCGGGGCCGCTGAACCCGCACGGTGGCACAGTAACGGCTTGGGTGGGCATCCATACTGCCCACTACCTGCAGCCCATAAAGAGCAAAAGTGTGAAACTTGCATGCCACTGAAACTGAGAATTATTATTATTTTTAAGAACTTTGCCCTGTATTATTTCTGTCAGGCTTGGGTGTGGGTGCGGGGAGCAATCCTGATGAAAGTGAAGGACTGTCAACTGGTGAAGACAAATGGGAGAGAACAGGCTGAAGACAACACTGCCTCTCCCTACGCTAGGGGACTTAAGAGGCAACTCCCTAGACATCTGTGCTAGGCTACATGGACACTGTCACAGCTAAAAATTGGTCGCTGTTTCTTTAATGCTTAAAAAAGCTGGGTCAGCATGAGTCAGCGGCCTGCACCGGGTTGTATATAGTGAGACATGTTAGTTTAGTTGGGTTGGTTGGTTGGTTAGTGAAAATTGGTAGTGTTGAGGTGTGTACAGTTGGTCAATAGCTTTTACAGAAAGACTTTTAAGAATAAAAAGCAGAAAGTACTCTGCAAAGATACTCTTCTCGTGGACTCTTTTATGCCAACAAGGGTCCGAGAACCAGGCTGAGGCAACAAAGGGAGGTCAGAACCTTTTTTTGCTTTTTACAAACACTGACAGACACAAGGCAAATGTACCTGTGTGAGCCTCTCACTGAACTCCATCCTGAATGAGCAGGTTGGTGCACAACTGAGGTGGTGGCCGAGTGCTCCAGACAGGCACACAGAACAATGTCTTATACCGAACCAAAGCTATGGTCCATCTAGCTCAGCATTGTCTACGCCGATTGGCAATGGTTTTCCAGGGTTTCAGGCAGGAGACATTCCCAGACTTCCCTGGAGACTGAAACTGGGACTTTCTGCACACAAAGCATGTGTTCTATCTCTGAACTATGGCTCTTCCCTTCCTGATGGTCTGGGGCCGAGCCAGCCTATTACACACCACAACATTTGAGAGGTAAAACTTACAGCTGTTATAGAAGGCTTCTTTCCATCACCTGCTGGGGGATGAGTCACATCAGCTCCAAGGAATATGACTGGCTGCTGAAAGACAGCAGACCTGGGAGCAAGATTGAGTAGAAGATTTAGTACCAAATATAACCAGAGATTTTTTTAATTAAAAAAAACTAGCATTTTGTGGGGAACACCCTTCTGCAAAAGCTAGCTGGCCAACGTTTTGCAGCTATATTAAAGCAAGTTACTTCCTTCTGTTAAAGCAAGTTACTGACAAGCAATATAATCAGAGTTACATGCTTTTATCTCCCCCGTCTCCTCCCCGAAATTCAAAGCTCAGTCCCAAAGAACTCCTCCTGAAAGTGTGTCCATCAGGATTAAGTCCCCCACCCCACCCCGCTTTGCACCTCGTTTACTTTGCACTGAAATGAATGGGGTGGAACAACGCAACGACAGTGTAGCTTACATAAATTACGTGTGTCACGTAATTTCACCACAGTGGATGTGGAGATGAATAGCATAGTTTGGGGTGGAATACGAATGGCAGAACAGAAACAGCTGCATGCAACCAATACAGGACAAAATGGAAATCAATGCCTTCTTACATCCCTAATCTTGTGTTCTTGTTCAGTTACACCAGAGAGCAGGGTGTGTTTGTGTGAGCTACAACATCACTGGGCAGGGGGTGGGGGGTTCAAGTGAAGGTACTTCCCTTCCATCCCACTTGGCAAACATACCGCTGGTGAGGCACCAAGATGTTGTTGATCCCGCCGAGCTTGACATTGATCTTGAGGCAGAGGTTGGAAAGAGTCTGTGGCGATGTCTTCACAACATTCTTGACCTGCACGCACTGGGTAGCCATCCCCAGGAGCGTGTCCCCCACACGCTTTACCTCCGCTGCAGACATAAGAGTAAAAGTTTGTTAAAGCAACAGGCACCTTGCAGCTTCTCCTTGAAAACGATAGCAGGAACATATCTGGGGAAGGTTTCCATTTGATATGTGGAGGGATAAGGCAATAGCTTTAAGGGAGGCTGAGAATTCCAGAGCTGATTTTAAAGCATGCGGGTTTGTAGACCTACATGCACTGCATCGCTTTAAACTACAGACAGCGCAGGGGGGCAAATGCCACAAATCATAATTTTCTTTTTTTCATCTTGAAAATATGCTCCTAAAATCTGTTAACTACAGAGGCTGGATTACTGTAATAAACTCTATGTGGGACTGATCTTGAAGACAATCCAGAAACTCAACTACAGTGGTACTTCGGGTTAAGTACTTAATTCGTTTCAGAGGTCCGTTCTTAACCTGAAACCGTTCTTAACCTGAAGCACCACTTTAGCTAATGGGGCCTCCAGCTGCCGCCACGCCACCGGAGCTCAATTTCTGTTCTCATCCTGAAGCAACGTTCTTAACCCAAGGTACTATTTCTGGGTTAGCAGAGTCTATGACCTGAAGCGTCTGTAACCTGAAGTGTATGTAACCCGAGGTACCACTGTAGTGCAGAACTGCCAGATCGCTAACAGAGACAGAAGAGCAGCCCTGCGGCATCAAGCCGAAGGCCTATGAGGTCCAGCATCCTGTTCTCACATTGGCCAACCAGATGCCTGTGAGAAACTCTGCAAGCTTTCTCATAACATGATACGCAGCCAACAGGAACAAGAAAAAAAAGCTCTTCACCACTTCCTATACACTTTGCTTTAGGAACACAGGAAGCTTCCTTATATCAAGTGAAACCACCTGGCTCAGTATTGTCTATACTGACTGGCATCTCTCCAAACTGTGCCTGGAGATGTTGCAGTTGAACCTGGCACTTTTTCATTCCACCACTCAGCCACAGGTCTCCCCAAGAGGTGGGATCTATTACATCTGTTCTGAAACAACGTAATTGGCTCCTTGTCCACTTCCAGGCTCAGTTCAAAGCAGTGATGCTTATCTGCAAAGAATGAGACCCAGATACTGGTTGGATCTTCTCCCATACTCCCATGGATGTCCAATTTAAGTATGGCAGTCACCAGAAGCCATGGAGAGTACCTTTTCAATGGTGGCAACCTTGCCTGTGAAATTGCTACCTGAGGAAGGCTTGTCTGGCTCCCCCCACTTTATTGTTGTCCCTTCTCAGGCTTTCAAAAACCTTTTACAGTTTTTAAGTTATCCTAGGTTTCTACTTTTACTGGAGGCCGTTTGTTTGTTTGTTTGTTTGTGCTTGTTATTGTGGGATTTTGTTTGTTTGGCCCAGAAAAAGCCAACTAATTTTGATGGTGTGGGATAAATCTTTTTAACACTTAACATAGAAATCTAACTTGTGAAGAAAAGGGGTTTTAGCCTAGTCCCTGCTGCACTAACTTTCTACGTTCAAAGGCACAGTTTGTCCTTTAAAAAGAAATATATAGTAGTAGTAGTCATTGCGGTATTTACATTAGTTTACTGTCCTTCTTTCAAAAACCACAGGGCAACCAAAGCAGATTCTGTGCCAAAATCAGGCCTAAACCCCAATTAAAACAGATCTAGAAAATCAGCTTTCTCCAAGAGCACACGGATCTGGTCTGCAACCGCCCACTCAAAAACCTTGTCCGAGAAGGGGAAATTGGCAACTGGAAGTGTTGGATTATTAAGGGTTCAATGGACAGAAATTCCCTTTTGTCCTCCCCCCTTCCAGCAACTCCCTCCTTTCCTGTTAACATACCATACACCGGCGTCTTCCCTGGTAGGATGACTATGATAAGCTGGAGCCCCGAATAGGTGTTCTTAAGGTGACGGAACATGGGCTCCACACTGTCTGCACCTTGTGCATATTTGCAGAAACACGGCTGGCCCTGGATTGGCATCCCTGCATCCTTGGAGATCTTGCGCAGCTGGTCTGTAAAGTTCCTAGGCACAGGGGGAAAGAAAATGAGGTTTGAAAGGAGGATGCAGATAGTTTCTTATGACTGGTTATCCCTCTACCAAGCAGTGCTGTTGCATAGGATGGGGATGGGGAACCCATGGCCCTCCCAACTCCCTTTAGTCCCAGCCAGCACAGCCAACACTTGAGGAGGAGGAGGAGTAGTAGTAGTTTGGATTTGATATCCTGCTTTATCACTACCCAAAGGAGTCTCAAAGAGGCTAACATTCTCCTTTCCCTTCCTCCCCCACAACAAACACTCTGTGGGGTGAGTGAGGTTGAGAGACTTCAAAGAAGTGTGACTAGCCCAAGGTCAGTCAGCAGCTGCATGTGGAGGAGCGGAGACGCGAACCCAGTTCACCAGATTATGAGTCTATCGCTCTTAACCACTACAGAAAGATGGGAGCTGCAGTCTAGAGGGCCACAGGTTTCTCATCACTGTACTGAGGGGTGTGTTGGGTCCAGGACGGAGAACTAAAAATCCATCTCAAAAGTCTGCTAGTTATCCCTAAGCCCACAGGAAGCAGTGAAGGCAGTGATGGGAACCAGTGGCCCTGCAGTTGTTGTTGTATTTTTGACTACAACTCCCATCATCCCTGACCACTGGCTACTCTGGCTGGGGCTAATGGGAGTCCAACAACATTGGGAGGAGAACCTGTGGCCCACCCAGGAATGAAGGAACCATCTCCAAGCAATCGCCCGTAGCCCTGGATGGGAGTGACAACCCTGCAATACCCAGGAACAAGGCCCCAGGTTCTACAGCAGATGAGGAACTGCTGCCAGCTTCTCAACACTGGTTTTCCAGGGGCATCCCCAAAAAACTGCCACACACATTTTGAAGGAGGTGGGCTACAAGAATACATTATGCTGCTGCTTCAATATCTGATCTAGCTCCCTATCAGAAATCTAGGAAGCTGCCTTATACCAAGACGAGCTATTGACCCGTCGAGCTCAGTATCACCTACACCTTTTGAACTCTAACTGGGGATGCCAGGGATTGAACCTGGGTCCTTTTGCTTGCAGAAGAGTGACTCTAAGCCATTGTCCTTCTACAGCTACATCCAGTTCCCCACATCCACAAATACACCACTCACGTACTTCAGAACTTCTTCCCTGCATTGCTTCTGGGGGGCGAAACAAGCTATGGCCCAGACTTTGATCTCAATGCCATTGTAGAACTGCTTCCCCCTCATGTCCCATACCCCCTGGTTGGGTGTGGCGATGGCACGGTTCTGCAGGGAAAGAAAATGGTGGGTTGGTCTTTCAAAATAAACACCACCTACCAGGGGAGTTTGGGAATCATTTGCCCTACACATTTGCCCACACAGATAACCATTTTAGAGGATGGCTAGTCAATTTGGGGTGGGGGGGTTTATCTGGCGTCAATATCCAAGCTTAACTGTTTATTAAAATCTAAGAAAAGCCTGCTGAATAAGGCCAATGGTCTATACAGTCCAGCATCCTGTTTTCACAGTGGCCAGTCAGATGCCTGTGGAAAGCCTACAAGCTGGGCCTAAGCGCAACAGCACTCTGCCCAACTGTGACTCCCAGCAACTGGTAAACGAGAGGCATACTGCCGCTGACAGGGGAGGCAGAATATAGCCATTGTGACTAGTAGCTTGCACTCCATGCACTTGTCTGATCCTCTCTCAAAGCATTCAAATTGGTGGCCACCTCCACCAATCAATATAAATAATAAAAATAAACAAGTTTCCCTATTAAAAAGAGCACCAAATTCAAACTCTTAGAAGTATTTAAAAGCACCAAAACAAAATTCGCAACACCAGCCCTCAGAAGACCCTGCCACAGTCATCAGTTAGCGGCCAAAGGCTTCTCTAAACAAAGTTATTTCCCTGCCAGCAAAAGGGAAGCAAAAGGGGACCAGCCTAGATTCCCCCCAAAGGGAGCTCCACAATCCATTGCGAGCAGCCCTTGAGAAGGCCCTCTCTTGTGTCCTTGCCTGTGGTGGGACAGATAAAATTTTATTCTGTAAGCCATCTTGAAAGGATTTCACCCATAAAAGATAATAGTCATAAAATCGTAGAATTGTGGAGCGGAAGGGACTACGAGGGTCACCTAGTCCAGCCCCCCCCCTGCAATGCAGGAATCTTTTGCCCAATGTGGGGCTTGAACCCACAATCCTGAGAATTAAAAACAATTTATATGGTGACTGATGGAAGGCTTTGGGGATGGGGTGTCAAAATGTCCATTCCTTAGATATTACTACTGGTCAGTTACTCTAAGAGAATCTGCCACCCCCCACCACCACGAGCACTTGAGAGACCCTTGGATGCTTACCCGTCCTCCATACTGTAAAATTGGGGCTGGCAGGACACGCCCAGTCACTTCAGTCATGTCATCCTTCACCTTTATGCCAAACTCCTGTATGTATGGGTCCAGGTTATAACTGGCGTTCTTCATCTGAAAAACAAGGATGGTTACATTTTACTGAGTGCCTCACTTTCTGCATCAACTTTCCCCTTGCTGTGCTTTATGCTGCTCTAAGTTGGCTTTTTGCTGATCTTTCTGCTTTGGTGCTTATGTTTTGTTTTAAGGGCTCCTTCTGAAAACAGAATTTCCTATTTTATTGTCTATGTCCACGGTGGGGAGATGAAGCTGGCTATCGGCTTGGTTCCTCAGTTGCCCCACCCACCACAGGGTGGTGACATCACGTGACTACTTCAAATGGGATAACTCAGCTCCACTCAACTGATTGGTACCAACAGTGCACCCTCCAAAGGGCTTGTTCTCAGTGCTCATCAGCTGATTGGTGCCAAGAGAAAGCCCCATCAGCTACACTAGGGAATTCTCATCAGGAACTTCTAAGGCAGCCAGTCTTTATCTGCCCCACATTTGAATTCACATATTATGTCAGGTGTGGCACAGGTGGGTGTGGTTTGGGGCAAATGGCCTCACATGCCTAATTAGAACCCCTGCCAGGCCAAATTAGGCTCACAGGCCAGAAATGGCCCACAGCTGATCTATGTATACATACTGTACAAATAACTTTTACCTTTCCCCCCCCCCCACATATATAACACACAAAAAATACAATACATAGAATTCATGGGAGGTATATAATGCTACCCTTTGTGCCACTATTCTTATTTTCATAATACATAGGAAGAATGCGAATAGCAATGTATTATTTCATATCAAACGATCAAGTCTCTCTGGTAAGGTTATTGTGAAGCTGCTGCTGAGGTTCCAGTTTCACAACTTCCTAACCACAGGATGAACCCAAAGCACTGCCCTACAAAATCACCTTCCATGCTTGTCTGTCTCATTAGTTGTACTTGCTTCATCAATCTTTCCATTAAGGCATTTTGCTACATTAAAATTTTCCATTCTTGAAATGTTCCTCTCTCTTGTTTTCTGATTTCTTGCTATTACATGTCTAGTTGCAGCCAATAACATCAATAAAACCTATTTATATGGTTCATCTGAATTTTGGTCATCAAATATAGTTAACAATGCCAGTATCAGGAAAGGATCTATGTAGTAGCTTAATATTTTACTACATTCCAATAAGATTCCCCCCCCAAAAAAAAAACTTGTATGACATCACATCCCCACCACATATGTATGTATGTCCCCAATTCTGGGCACCCACATCGTCAACATACAGGACTCACTGCATATATTAAGCTTAGAGTGAGGTATCAACAATGTGTGAGTTTAAAAGAACCTTTTCTCTCTTTTTTTTTGCTGAAACTAACTCAAGGGGTTTCCTTTCCACATCTCTTTCCCATTTTCCATTGTAATATGAAAATTTAGTTTTAAACTTGGCTGGAAGAATGATATATAAATATAATAAAATATATTTATCCAAACAGAACAGGCTTTCCAACAGCTACACTGGCAAAAAAGAAACACTACTCGTAAGAGTGGAAAATATAGGCAATAGTTTAAACAAAGCATGGGCAGCCAACAGTCTTCAGGATAAATAACACTGGTCTGGCCTGTGAAAGGTCCTAGTGGAACACTTCAAATGATTATGATGCTGGGATCTGTCAATGGATCGCAGAAAGCTCTACCCAGGTAATGGCAGGATCGCATCACTTCAGCACTGGTTCCATAAGATCTGGAGGGATTTAGGTCAAAGCTTTTGTAGCTTTTGTGGCTAAACACTCAGAAAGCCCCATACTTCCTGCCCTGCCGCATCCTAAAATTCTGATAGATATGAAGAGATACAAATATTGACAGCAACCTAGAACTCCTGAAGTTTCAAAGTACATGAGTTTTGGTTTGAGAGACTCTGCCATCACTCTGCTGGCAGAGACTACCCGAGTTGTTATGGGGTTGGGTGGAGGCAGATCTCTGCCCCAGCCAACCCCATTTGAATTGCACCACTAAGTCATAAAGCTCTCACTGTCCTCAGCAGCAGTTCGCAAACCCTCACTCGCAAGTTGCCAGCCCAAAAGAATAGAAAGCTCACAAGCGCTTGCCGCTTCCCTCCCACAAGAGCAAAAAGACAAGAGGCACATACCAGCCGGCTAATCTCCTCTTGCCTATCCGGGGCAGACCTCGCTGTTGCTTTGATCATGGTGGAGGTCTGATTGTCCGTTAGTTTCTTAATGCACCGCTGGCCAGCCACAATGTTACATACCTGCCAAAGACATTTATTTTGTTAAATTACTATCGTTAAATTACTATCTTGCCCTTTGGCCCCAACACTGGTCTTCCAGATGGACAACAATGAAAGCATAAAACAAACACACACTTAAAACTTAGATCAATGTCAGCAGCAGCATATAAGAACACTTATGGAAAACAGCAGCAGCTTCCTGTTAATCTGGATCAGCCTTCCCCAAGCCCCTGGAGAAACAAGGAGCCCTCAGTACTCCAGGACTGTTGCTCCTTCTTCAGAAGGAAGTTCTACAAAGCTGGCACCACTACAGAGAAGGCCTTGATTCTTGTGTCAATCAGCTTAACCGCCAATGGTAGAGGAACACAAAACAGGGCCTCTCTGGGGGACTGCAATGCAGAAGGAGATTCATACAGGATATACCGTATTTTCCCCGTGTATAAGTATAAGCACTATCCATGTATAAGACGACCCCTTATTTTAAACTTCAAAAATTTAGGAAAAAATATAGTCTTATACACGAAAAAATACGGTACATTAGAGGAAAACATAAACTTTACCTGACCACAGCTATGGAAAACTTGCAAATACAGCCAGATAGCTCCTGAGTTGGGAGCCAATTTCCCATAGATTTTGTGAGTGATAATGGAGCACTTCAATTTGTAAAACTGTTGTACTAACAGCCCTCTCAGAATCTTGGACAAACCATTAAGACAACCACGCTCAGGGGCCAGTAAGAGACCATTGGGCAGTGGTTCACACGTGAACATTAAGCCATGGTCAGAAACAAAGCCATGGTTTACCATGAACAAGCAGTGTGCTAGTGCATGCTGCCCAATAGCAGCCGCTGTGCTCCTCCCTTCCCAGAGTCGGGGGGGGGGGGAACCATGGAGAAGCTGACTTAGCATTCTGTGCAAGCCAGCATTCATAGGTTTCTTTTAAAAAACAAAACCTTGGCTTCCAGTAGTAGTTAGCAGAGAAACAATGAGTGCTGTTTCACACATTAGGTGAAGTCAGCCATTCTGTGGTTTTGTTTCCCACTCCTGGAAAGGGAGGTGCAAAACAGGTGCAATTCACTGGCATGCACCAGCATGCTACTTGTTCATGGTAAATCACAGTTCTTTTCAAACTATGTTTTACCAGTATGTGTGAACCGGACCAGTGTGACTGGCAGCTTCCTGTGTTCCAATCCACCATGTATCCACTAGTCACTACTGAGTCCCGCCTACCCTTGACTTGAGCCAAACAGGCAGAATTTGTGCTGAGCACTTGGCATGGAAAGGGAGAAGGGAATAGGAGTCATCGCATTGAAATTATTCACAAAGGGGACTTTAAAAGGCAAGGTGAATGGGCAAGATTATGAGCCTCCAATCAGACCATTTGCTAAGGGGAAGGATTTAAAAAGATTGTCCCCTCCTTTTCCTTCTCTGCCTGCTTTCCCTTCCTACATCTTGTCTTTTTAGTCTATAAGCCTGAGGGTTGTGCTTGTGGTTCTTTTCTGTTTGGAAGACATTATTCGTCTGAAAAGCAGGATAATAAAACACAACAAACTTAAATTTTAGAAGATGTGACAGGCTGCTCTGAGCATAGAGGGCAAGATTCATAGAATTGTAGAGTCAGAAGAGGCCCCGAGGATCATTGATCAACCCCTGCAATGCAGGAATATGCAGCTGTATCCTTTTTTCTCTCAAATAATGTTTTATTAATTTTCCAACAAAATTATACAATTTTATCCAAATCTTAACAAATTAATTCTTTTTGGACTTCCTTCAGCTTCTCTGGCAATCATCCACAGAATATGCAGCTGTATCATATGGAGGACCAAACCCTGCAAACCTGGTGTTATCAACATCACGTTCTAACCAGCTGAGAAATCCATGGGACTTTTAAGTTTAAAGCAAGCAGTCAAGATTGGTCAAAGTCCCATGGTTGGGAAAGAAAGAAAATTCAGCTTATTTCTTTTTCATTATATATTTCTTATATATTGTTTATTTATTTATTTATTATATATTTTTTATTCTCTGTGTATAAAATTGCAGTGTTTTGTTTTGTGTCTCTGTGTTTAGGCACTTCTTGTTTCTTTTTTTTTTTAATTTGTTTTTCAGTAAAAATTAAAAGTCTTAAAAGAGCTGGAGGCCGAAGCACAAAAAGGTTCAAAAGGACAAGAAAAAGTACAAAACAGAACATAACTCTTCATGCAAGGGCGCGCACACACACACTCACTCTCTCCCCCCCTCCCCCACTATAACAGCAAAGCCTTGAGGTATTTCAAAAAGCCATCTCCCCATCCCATTCCAAAAATGAGTTTTCACCTCCAGAGGTAGATATGTGTGCTTCTGCTCTTGGCCGACTTGAAGACACGGCAAGTGGGGGTACTTGAGCTGGAGGTTGTATTTCTGCTTGAAGTACTGCGCTACTGTGCACTCCACCGTCTGACCGCTCTCCAACTGGAGAGGGAACCTACACAGAAGAAATCCACAGCTGTTTAGAGAGCCCGGTACAAAACCAGGAAAAAGACCTCGAGCCTCTCCAGACTGATTGGTTTTGCAGGTGCACTCTCCGACTTGTATTGCGCATTAGTGGTGAATTTATGCTGGACCATCCACACATCAGTCTGCTTTGTAAGTTGTTGTGTGATGCTTCCCCAACGTTACTGCGTTATTGCTATCTGGAAGAACACTCTTGCCCTATAAGGCAACAAAAGCAGGACAAACAACAACTCCAAAACATTTGTATTATGAGAAGTTGCTGGATTTCATCTGGCTCTTAATTCCACCTTCAGGACAGCTTTCCCCACACTGACAGCTGAAACAAGTCACCTAGCAGCAGTGCACACTTCTCCCAAGAAAGTGCCCATCAGTCAGTTCCCAAGGCTTCCTGCATCGCCAGACTAACAGTGTTTTTTCTCATTCCCCTTTCTAAATGCTACCCGACTGATGCTAAATGTCACAAGGTAACATGCCCCCCCCCTGAAACACAAAAACACACACCACAAGTGTATCTTCCCCTTCCCCCAAGCTAACAGCCTTACGTTTGGTGGCTAGCCGGCCTCCGAGTAACATTACACACACGGTATTTCCTCTTCATCTGCCCACAGTGAGTCACCTCCACTTTCAAACCTATCAAAAGAGAAAGATATCTGATGTCAATCCATTTATCAGCTTATTGATCCAGTCAACATATAAAACACAGAACGCAAAGGAGGGATAGGGTGTCCCAGACTTCCCACCAAGGCCTCAAAAATATTGCCCCTCTTAATTTTGCCTTTTGCTTTGCATCTATTTCCTTTGCGGCCCTGAAAGAAAACCACTTGCCAACTAGGGCCTTTTAGAGTCTCTGCCCTCTTACCTTTGATCTCCTTGGTGAAACGGACTCTCTGGGAATCAGTCAGGGGCTTCGGCTGCTCATCAATGTTCCGGATGTCCAGCACCTCACACATGAACTCAATCACTGGCTGGGCCTTGTAGAAGGCTGTCGCTGATACTGTCATGGGGTGAGCAGACAGGAGTGCAGGTCAGTCCAGGCAACAGAAGCACAAGAATCATGGTCATTTCTTGACTCTCTTTCTCTAGGTGTGCTTCCAGACTGCCAACATCTTGCAGGAGGGGTTTGAGCACATACCAGAACTTTAGGTTTATGCAATTAACATGGATTTAAGTACTGTCACCCTAGCTCAACAAATCCATTTTTAAATGAATTTTTTGCAGTTTTCAAAGTGACAGAGAAAACTGCAGGATAAACAAATGACTAGTGGAAAAACATGTAAATACTCCATAATGAAACCAGGATGACAACGACAATGATTACTACTACTAGAATTAGTATACCACCCTTCATCCGTAGATCTCAGGGCCATTCACAGCATAAAAATGCAAGATATAAACACAAAATTTGTAATAAAAACAAGAACCAAAGAACCCCCTCCCTCAAATGCTCTAGAAAAATCACATTTTAAAAAGCAATGCAACACTTGCAGAATACCAGATAAGTTTACTTATGTTTATATAATACATTTTTGCTCTGCCTTTTATGAAGCTGCTTAGGGAAACACCAGCCATGCCATGCATGCTGTCAGAAAACCTGTGCCTGTGAACTGTCAAAATAATCACCACAATGCAAGCTGCATCTGACCAGGTTCTTGTTCTCCATTGAACCTACCACAACAGTTAATTCAGGCACCGCTGGTGAACAGGGCCCCATAGAACCTAAGAGGCATTGTCAACAATCCTTTTTCAGCCACAGACTTCTTGTTGGTTATTCTGAATGTTTTACAGTTACAGGGTTACATTACTGCATGCATTTAGTTACCATCAATATTCAGCATCATCTTCCACATAGCGGGCCTGACAGACTGGTGGAACCCAAACCAGACCTCCCGACCACCTCCCAGCGGGTGGTAGTATCCTTCAGGGGGAGAGAAGAAGGAACGGCCCACTGGCGTGTACCTGGGGGAGGCCAAAGAAAATGAAGAACATTAGCCCATGCTATACCCATGTAGGACAGCAAACTTTGATATTTGAAGTCTAGACTGAGGCACAAAAACCCTTCAGGAATGTCCCTGGGCCTCAAATCTTCTTACAGATTTGTCACTAGCATAATTTTGCCCAGTTCTTTCCTCATAGCTAGGCACTATTTACTTGGGGTGGGCAGTCTTCAAGGTTGCAAGTTAAAGGATTTCCTTGCTCCATGCATGCCAATCCAATCACTTCAATCTGTGGAACTTGCACATCTACAAGTGCCAAGTGATGTCCATTCCGCATTTGAAAGCAGTCGTTCTCCTTTAATGAAGCAGCATCTGTGCTTTGGAACACCCTGCCTATTGATATTATGTAGGCACCATCACTGTACTCTCTTAGACACCAGCTGAAGACTGTGAAGAGGTGTGAGAGAGCTACTCCCTCACAGAAAATTCCACAAAAATACAACTCCCAGGGCCATGTTGGCTTCATGGATGTAATATATCTGTGTGAAAACAGGATAAAAGATGTGCCCAGAGTTGTGTGCATCTTCCCTAAAAAAAAAAATTAACTAAATCCCTGACCACGAAAGAAAGTTACCTCATGGAGGCCAGGTGCCTCATGGCAACATCAAGGGCTTGGACAGACTCCAGCGGAACAGGAATCTGCCCGCTCACCAGGGCCTCGTGAAGCATCCGCCAGCTCACAATGGCCATCCACTTGATTGAAACCTTGAATATCCTGTCTTTGCCTTCCCCTGGAATTGTCACCTCAAAGTCAACCTACAAACAGATGACAGAAAAATAAATTATTTTCTTAAAATTGTCTTTTATTGTGTTATGATTTGCATTCCACAGTAGTCTGGTTGTAATACAATAAAATACAAGGAAAGAAATAAAGGAACTATTTAAAAAATAAATATGAATATTTAATTCAGACATGCTATGGGCCACCTGAATGAAGCTCATGGAGTTTTGTGAACCCCTACCCTATATGGTATGGCATGGAACTATGGCTTTGGAACCCCTGCCTTATATGGCATGGCATGGAACTATGGCTTTGGAACCCCTGCCTTATATGGTATGGAACTAGAACTAGGAGTGAAGGATTGAAGAAAAAGAAGTTGCATTAGTGAGTTTGTTAGGCCTGTTGTATAGTCGTTTTCAGACAATGAAATAGTTGCTGTTAAGCTCCTGCTGTCTCTGGCATTCATTAAACACAATTCCAGCTGAAAGCACAGTGCTTTGCAAGTCCCTTTCAGCAGGGGCTTGAGTTCAAGTCAGGATACAAAGGGAGAAAGAATTGGAAACGCACTTAAGAGTGTGTTCCCAATTCTTTCCTCTGAAGCTGGGTCGCCAGACATCAAGGTGATGTCAAGTGACTGACATGTAATTTTCAGACACTGCCATGTTGGATGGACAGCAGGGATAGAAGGGAACACCAATGCAACTTCTTAATTCTCCTGATTCTTCTGGCTTTAAAAAGGAGGGTGCCTGAGGAAGCCCAACCACCCAAGAGAACACTGCCCTCTTACCCTTTCATTGCCAATGGGCAGGGCAGTGACCGTATAGATGTTCTTTTTCCCATCGTACACCGGCTTCCGATCTCCAAAGATTTGAGGTTTGAAGTGTTGTACCATGTATTCCACAACCTCCCTGCAGAGAGAGAGACCAGGAGGGGAGGGGGAGGAAGAGAGAAGCTAGAAGGATTGGCTAGCGGGTTCACAATTCCAGTAAGAAACTAGGACCAGAAGTATGACTGGACTGGACTGGGAGCAGCCAAGCTAGAAAATGAGGGAGAACTCAGGATCATTTGGGTCAGTGGCTGGTGCTGGAAAAGTTGGAAGCCTTGACATGCAGCAAGTGGAAGGTACTACTCTGCTGAGTAAATGAGTGCAATAGGCTAAGCACCTAGACTTTACCAAGACTATCTAATACAGCAACTTCGTATTGCTTGGCCAAGCACCTCAGCTGATCTTGTATTTTCCCTCATTCCCATAAGTGATGTAACTTGTCCGGGGGGAAAATGAATTGGAAAATTTTCCTTATGTAAATCATAGTGATCTGCATCAGGAAAGAAAACCCTGATTGCATTAGAAAATTTACTAATGCCCTAGAGAGCAATCTAATAAAGCATGTTTATTTTACTGGAATTACTGGAAGTAAAAAAAAAAGCTTTAAAAACCATCAGAAATTTGCCAGGCTGTTTAACATTGTGTTTGCAACAGGCATTCGTTCACTCCTATTAATGAACTTGTGGAACAGGACAGTTTCCAGTCCGCATCACAGATTCCCATCTACAAACACTGCACAGCAGTCAATGAGGTAGTTGTGAACTCCACAATTCTGCAGAAACACAGCAAAAGGGACAGAATTTAATGCTGTCATCGCTAGACTGAGACAGATGGGTTAACCTGAAGTGGCAAAAATGATGTAGAATGCTTGGTAAATGATTTGTTTCTTTATCAGGTTTCTTTATCGCTCTTCACCAAAAATGGTCACAGGGTATTTTACCAAAAGAAAAAAGGGGCAATATAGGATAAAATAAGCAGCAAAAACTTTTAAAAATCATTCTCGGAAATTACATAAATGTATGCAATTTATAATAGAAGGCCTACCAAAAAGAGAGCTTTCATCTGGCATCAAAACAAATTTTATTATTTTCATAATAAAATATGTTGCTCCCAAATATACATACAGCTAGGGTGAGATGCACTTCAATGGAGAGGTCATTCAACAGACGTGGAGCCACCACCATTAAGGCTCTACCATGCATCCCTCCATTATCCATCTCATTTAACATAGGGATGACCCAGAAAGCCTCTTCTGATCTTAATGCAGGGTAGGTTGATACAGGAGACAGCATTCTCTCAGATATTTGGGCTGCAGATCATTCAGAGCTTTAAATGTTGTCTTAAGCACAGTTTTGTGCCCGGAAGGTAACTGGCAACCAGTGTACCTGCTTGAGTTCTATTCCCCTCCACACTCTGGCTGCCAAAGTCTGCACTTGTTGCAGTTGTTGAATTGCGTTCAATGGTGGCCTCACGGCTAACTGTACCCAGGCTATCCCTGTCCAGAAAAAGACTGCAGCTGACACACCAACCAGTGAAGAAGTATGAAATTTGTATTAATGTTTTCCTCCAAAAAATCTTATTTTTAATTGGCTTTGATGATATGCTAAATAAGTTTTCTAAAAAAAATTATTTGAATAATTTTGATGTTTATCATAAAAGTTAATTAAGCCTATGGGTAATGCCCTGAGATGAAAGCAACATTGACCCGGCAAATACTGTCAAGTCATGGTCAAGCATGTTTAAAGTAGACTTGGTCAACCTGGTGCCCTCCAGATGTTGTTAGCTGACAGCCCCCTTAGCAGTACAGGAACCGTAGTCCAACAACATCTGGAGGGTTGGACTTTAAAGCATTGCCATTAGGAAATAAGATCAACCATTTTCCCACTTACTACTTTTTTTGTGTATCTGTCCTGACTTCCAGGTTTTGTTTTTTTTAAAGGCAATAATTAATGTTACTGCATTTTTATTCCACACTTGCCAAAGGATAGGGCGATATATAAATTTCTCCCACCAAAAAAAAATGTACCATCACAATAACTGCACGAAATAGGTGAGGTTGGCTGTGCGCAACCTGTCCATCTAATGAACTTCATGGATAAGTAAGGAGTTGGACCTGAGTCCCCTCCTTGGTACTCGTTTGACATGTTGGCCTTTGCCAGTGATGACTGCTTGCATTCCTAGTTGCAATATGCTTGCAGTTATAAGCAGGTGGCCAGTGGGGGCACACTTGCCCCTGGCTGCTGCAAGGCTAGGGGACAAGTAGCCCACGTTCCTGTCCTTGCTAACAAATGGCACCATAATTTTTATTTTTAAATTACGCTGCCCTCTACCTAGTAGCAGACTTGAAATATTTGACCAGTATGCCTACTCTACAATGCCTTCAGCTGACATCTCAGAAGCCTGAGTTTGGTATCCAGGAGCGGGGGAGAGTGAGCCTCTAGAGGTCTCTCACGCCTTCATGGATAGCCAAGCCAGAATTATGCAAGTTAAAAGAGAACAGGTACAAAATTAAATCAGCTGCTCTACGCACGTGCTCCTTGCAGAATTTTCACTTTTTAAATCAGATAGCTCTCAATACTGACCTTCCCAAGCAAAGAACTAAATGAACAGCAGAGTTTTAAACAGGAGTACAATTGCCCAAAGCCTAAGGATGGCTATTTTAAAAGCCTGGGACCGCAGCCAAGATCACACAGCTGCTGTAAGCTGACCAGTGATAGAGCCCAAAGCCCAGTTATCTCTCAAGCCGCCACCGCCAGCGCACGGCCAGAGATGGGGCGAGGAGAGAGGCTGAATTCCCAGTGTGGGCGGAGAGGAAGGAAGAGAGAGATGCTGCAGGAAAGCCACTTCACTGCCGGTCCAAGCATCAGCTTGCAGGGTCAGCTCCCACCTGTGCAAAAAGCGGCAACTTCACTCGTAGCAAAGCTAAATAGTGCCAAGTATCCCACTGGGCAGAAAGAGCTGCAACAGGTGTGCTTGGAAGTGGGGCTCTCAGAACTAGCCGGATGGGGGAGGAGAAGAGATGCAGGGCTCTGCATGCGTTTTCTCCAAGGCCTTTGGCTTCTTCCCAGTTAAAGGGCTGGACAAGAGGAGAAATTGCTAAACGCTAATACTTGCCTTACCTGTTGACTCTGCGAGGGCACTTGTCTGGCTTGATGTCAACTTCATAGTGATAGACGTCAATCTTGGGAATGTCTACTTCAAAGTAGTTGGCTAAGAGTTTGATTGGCTTCCCGACAGTTCCTATCCCGGGCCGGCGAGGAGCTTGAAATACCTGCTGCAGGGGTGGCAGGTAAGTGCCTGCAGCGGTTGCTAGACAAAAGAAAGAGGGGAGGATATTTTAAAATGTCACAGCAGTAGTCTTCAATGCTTCCAAAGTGAGGACCAAACTTTAGCCTACACACACATCCGGGGACCCATTACTTAATATGTTGCCGTGTATTTGCTCAATGGGGTATTGCTATTGTGACCCATCCTAGGTCAGGCTTTGACCTGGTAATGCGCCCAGACCCACCATTTGAAGACCAATGCTTTAGATCAAGAGTGGTCAACCTGTGGCATTTCAGAGGTCTCCATCAGCCTCAGCCAGCATGGCCAAAGGAGTTGTAAAGGCAAAGGGTAAAGAGACCCCTGACCGTTAGGTCCAGTCATGGCCGACTCTGGGGTTGCGGCGGTCATCTCGCTTTATTGGCTGAGGGAGCCAGCGTACAGCTTCCGGGTCATGTGGCCAGCATGACTAAGCCGCTTCTGGCTAACCAGAGCAGCGCATGGAAACACTGTTTACCTTCCCACCGGAGCGGTACCTATTTATCTACTTGCACTTTCGAACTGCTAGGTTGGCAGGAGCAGGGACCGAGCAACGGGAGCTCACCCTGTCGTGGGGGTTCAAACCGCCAACCTTCTGATTGGCAAGTCCTAGGTTCTGTGGTTTAACCCACAGCGCCACCCGCATCTCACAAAGGAGTTGTAGTCCCAAGTAAATGATTGAGACTGCAGCCAATGCTATAGGAACATTGATTAATTATGGGAAAGAGTGGCGGAAAGAGCTTTCCAAAGAGATGGCGAATCTGCAGTCCAACTACCTGTGACAATATGACCCCAACACTTAAAAGGGAGTCAGCACTGGATTTTTAAGTCATACATCTCCACCTCATCCTGGCATAATGAACTCCCACTGTAACCTTTCCCTCAATCTCTCTGATAACCCAGTCCCACTGGACAGCCCTCACCTACCAAAAGCAATTCCCCAGTTCCCAGCCTAATTCCTGGGGCCTCTGGCTACAAAGTTTAAACACAGGAATGACAAACGAAAAGCTCAGTTATAATATTTTTAGGCCTGTCAAATGCAATAGTGGTGGTAAGATAGACACAATACATGCACCTTGGTGGTTTGTAGGATACAGAGGTGTTTGGTCCAGAAGGTTGGAGAGTTGTTGTTTGGCAACACTGGGGGGGGGGGGGGGGCTCAAACCAAAGATTCACAATAGATTGATTCAAAGAACAAAAGTGAACCGAAACCAAAGGAACCCCAAAATTCATGGAGAACAAGAGTAAAGAGTCAGATTTCCCTGGTGCCAACAGTGTTGCATGAGATGCAAAGTGGTAAAGGAATCTGCCTGAAATAATGAAGATTTCAACCCCCAACCTCACTGAAGGGTTCCTAATAGAACTAGAGGCAAAGGGGTGTGGGACGGACCAAGTAGAATTCCCAGATGTTAGTGGCTGGACAGTTTATGCTGGCTGGGGCTGGTGGACCCTGTGCTCCCAGAACACCTGGACTGCCCCAGCCGGCATCATGTTCATAGGAACACAGGACAGTTCTGGTCTCTGTACCTCAAAAAAGGGATATTGTAAAGCTGGGGGAAAGGTGAAGATGGGGAACCAAAATGATCAAGAGGCTTGAGCAACTCCCCTGTGTGGAAAAGTTGCAGCATTTAAGGCATTTTAGTTTAGAAAACAGGCAAGTAAGCAAGGGAACATGATAAAGGTGTGTAGAATTATGCATGGCATTGAGAAAAGGGAACCTGGCACCAGCCAGTAAACCTGAATGATTGAAGATTTTCGCTTCCACCTTCTCTGGTGGCTTTACAAGGGGTTTAGGCAAATTCATGGAGGACAGGCTACCAATAACCTCTAAATATTACGGCTAGGTACTATTTACAGTATTGAGGGCAGTATGCACTAGAGGGGGTGTTGCCATGCTCAGGTCCTGCTTGCAGGCTTCCCATAGTCACCTGCCTGACCACTGTGAGAAGAGGGTGCTGGATCTCAGTTAAATTATGGAATTCGCTGCCACAAGGGGTAACAATGGCCTCTAAAGTGGACAGCTTCTAAAGAGGGTAACACAAATTCACTAAGGATGAGAATATCAATGACTACTAGCCCTGATGGCTGTGTTCTATGTCAAGGACTACTAGACCTCCTCTGTCGGAGGAAGTATCCCTTTAAATACCATTTGCTGGAAATTGCAGGCTGGGAGAGTCTGGGACTGCTTGTGGCCTTCCCATTGGCATCTGGTTGGCCGCTGTGAGAAGAGGGTGCTGGACTAGATGGGTCACTGGCCTTATCCAGCATGGCTCTTATGATATTCTTAGGAGCTGCCTTTTATCAGACCAGACTATTTGTCTGTCTGGCACAGCATTATCTGCTCTGAGCAGCAACATCTTCCACAACCTGGTGCCCCCCAGAAGTTCTGGACCACTGCTCCCATGATTCCTGACCCCTGGCTGTGGATGCCAGTTTGGCAGAGGATGCTACAGGGTCCAAGACAGATATATATGCACACACAGCTCCTAGATATTGATTTTAATGGAATATGCCAGCAATTGAGCCAGGAACCTTTCTGCATGCAAAACAGGTGCTTTACCACTGAGTTATCCCACTCTAAGCACTGTTTCCTACTTGGCAGCAGAATTAAGTGGTACAAGTCATGAGGCTATACAAAGTGAGCAGTACCACTTCAGGATGATCAACACTATTAAGGATTCTCTCACTTTTTAAAACTTCCTGCAATAATAAATCTAGTATGTTGGTGATAAAGGTCTAACCCACCTCTCTCTCTCCTGCTTTTTATTTGCAGGGTGGATTTTTATTTTTTATTTTAAACCACACACACAGCAGTAAGAAAAATAAACGTCATTCTACCTGTGATCTGCACAGCCCTTCTTTATACCACTCCATTCTGTGGCCACGTGAAGATTCAGGTAAAGTGTGGTGATGATTCAGAGTACAGAAGGGAAATCTCGTAGAGGGAAATTAGCTCTCTTCCCAGAGAAAGAACATTTGGGAAGGATCAATTGCATGCTGTTCTTTTTAAGTCAAGTCACTCGCATGCAATTCCGGGAAGCAATAGGTTCCACCCTACAATCAATCTCAACCTGCCCTTTAACCTACCAGCTTCGCCAGTGAACAGACTTGGGAGTCTGCTCCCTTACAAGGTCACCCAGAGGCCAGCATCCATCTCTGAAGAGCCCTCTCCATACCACAAACTGCTATTATCAGCCCTGCATCCCACCCAACACAGCTCTCCAGAATTGCAACATGATTTACAAGCCTCAGCGAGGAGGGTGGTGGACAATCAGTTGTTGTTGTATGTATTTAATATTGCATTTTAAAATTTCAAATGAAAACCTTGCATTTAGTGGGGAGGTCATAGAATCATAGAATCATAGAATCATAGAGTTGGAAGAGACCACAAGGGCCATCGAGTCCAACCCCCTGCCAAGCAGGAAACACCATCAGAGCACTCCTGACATATGGTTGTCAAGCCTCTGCTTAAAGACCTCCAAAGAAGGAGACTCCACCACACTCCTTGGCAGCAAATTCCACTGTCGAACAGCTCTTACTGTCAGGAAGTTCTTCCTAATGTTTAGGTGGAATCTTCTTTCTTGTAGTTTGGATCCATTGCTCCGTGTCCGCTTCTCTGGAGCAGCAGAAAACAGCCTTTCTCCCTCCTCTATGTGACATCCTTTTATATATTTGAACATGGCTATCATATCACCCCTTAACCTCCTCTTCTCCAGGCTAAACATGCCCAGCTCCCTTAGCCGTTCCTCATAAGGCATCGTTTCCAGGCCTTTGACCATTTTGGTTGCCCTCCTCTGGACACGTTCCAGTTTGTCAGTGTCCTTCTTGAACTGTGGTGCCCAGAACTGGACACAGTACTCCAGGTGAGGTCTGACCAGAGCAGAATACAGTGGCACTATTACTTCCCTTGATCTAGATGCTATACTCCTATTGATGAGGCCCAGAATTGCATTGGCTTTTTTAGCTGCCGCGTCACACTGTTGGCTCATGTCAACAGGTCTTGGTAGTGGTTATGGTAGATTCTGGGTGCAAAGCAAACATTGGGTTGGCTCCAGACTAAGTTAGCAGAATTTGGGTCCCAATGAAATAAGTGTGACAAATTAGTCATTACTTATTTATGTTGTAACTAACTTGTCCCAACTAACTTGTCCCATTGATTTCAGTGGAAACTTAGTGCAACTAAATTAGGCGACAACCAGCCAATTATCTGCCCTGATTTTCCTGAAGATGATGAGGATTCATTGCCCTTTGGGATAATTTTAAAAATAAATGAATCAGTAGACACCATCAACCAGCCTGCCTGACCATCCGCAGACAAAAATTGGCAGCCCACACCACTTAGGAAAAAGGACTAAAGCAGTGTTCTGAAGAGCAGGGGTGGGCAGGTGGTAGATCCCGATCTACCAGTAGATCTCTGACTGACTGACAGTAGGTCAGCCAGGGGTTCTGACCCCCAGTTCTTTAACAACAGCAACAGCAGAATGAGTTTTCCCAACTAAATTAGGCCACTGAAATGAATAAAGTGAAGTAGGAGTTGGCCCCTTGGGCAAAGGGACTGTGAACTCACTTCAGTTCCTGAGCTGAAAACAAATCCTAAGGTCAGGACATGCTCACTTTTCTTCAACTCAAACACTACTCTCTTTTGCACCTGGCTCTGGTTGGTAGCTCTTATAATAAGCAACAAAAAGCAATTGGATCAGTCTAAAGTCTGCTCAGCCCTGCAGTAGAAACTGTTTAAACCCAATGCTGCCAGAGACTCCCAGCAGAAGTAGAAAGTTTCAGGAGGTAGAGTTAGCCATTTCTCTGCCTGGGACAGGATCCCAAGTAACACACCCATTCACACATCTCAAGGACCAGCTCTGGAAAGAATCAGGAATGGTTTGTTGTCTTTTAAGGAAACTATTACTGAGATGGCCAGTTCCTTAATCACACATCTCTTATTTTCTCCTCCCTGGTGTGTGTGTGTGTGTGTGTCCCTACCTTATACTGACCATGCTCAATTGTGG